TGAATATGTTCGGCCGAACACGTTCAGGTGGTGTTCGGCCGAACACCCGAACATGTTTGGACATTCGGAAAAGCTCTGAACATGTTCGGTGTGCTACACAGATCCAGATTGCACAATCACATTGAAAGCCAGAAAGTATCACAGTGTCCAGAAAGCAGCATTGCACCAATATAACACCAATGGAGAATAGTAGCACTGAAAAACAAATGTCGATGAGAGCTTGCTCTCGCCCCTACCAACATAAGTGTCCAGGCCCTTCTCCCTACTTGGCGCTCCGCGCCCAGCCTACTTCCTACATAGCTACTATCTGCCTACTCATTGATAATGCAACTGTAGACGTCAGCAGCCCACGAAGTAGTTGAAGATGTCGTCCAATGCAGACCATCGCCAATACCAGGTATGTGCCCTCACATCATCATCATCATCATCCGTCTCCCTCTCCCTCGACATACACCCACGTCTTCCCACTGTACACCCGAAGACCACCTATGCGCCTCACTGTAGTCCAAGCCTCAGCCAGCTATGAAGGCTGGGCTATGGCGCTGCCCTCAGCAGCGCCGTGCTTCTTGCACGACCGCATGCGCGCAGCACCTTGCCCTTAGCGCACAGCAGCACCCGAGCCTTTGCTCCAGCAGCGCTGCCGCACGAACTGGCAAGTGCCTAAATGAGCCTCCAGGCAGCGAGCTCTTCTACATCTACATCTACATCTACACCTACTATAATACGTCATATCGCACGTCTAGAATAGCAGGCCGGTCACCACCACGGACGGCGCGGATTGGCCCGTCCGCAGTGGTGACCGGCCTGTGATTCGGGCCATGCGATATCGGATTTCAGATTCTGCCGGTTGCTACCGGAAGCCCGCCCGCTTTCTTTTTTCCAGCTGCCCACCCCTCCAATCGCCCGCCCGCCCATCCGCCCGTTTTTTTAATCGCGGCCAACCCCGCCCACCCCTCCAATCGTCCGGTCGCCGGTAAGTACCAGAGTCATCGAATCGCCCGATCGTCCGCCCGCCCGTTTTTGTGTTGCCGGCCCACCTCTCCAATCGCCCGCCCGACCGTTTTTGTGTTGCAGGCACACCCCTCCAATCCCCGCCCGCCCGTTTTTGTGTTGTCGGCCACCCCTCCAATCGCCCGCCCTCATTGTTGCTGCCGTGCTCTCTCTCTCTCTCTCTCTCTCTCTCTCTCTCTCTCTCTCTCTCTCTCTCTCTCTCTCTCTCTCTCTCTCT